TAGTCTGGTCGCCCTGTTCTCCAGGCTTATACTGTGGTCTCTTTCAGAATATTTCTTCCAACGTGCTGGAGGAGTCTGTGGTCTCTGATGACACCCTGTCACCTGACGAGGATGGGGTGTGCGCGGGCCAGTACTTCACCGAGAGTGGCCTGGTGGGCCTCCTGGAGCAGGCTGCAGAGCTCTTCAGCACGGTCAGTACCCAGAGGGCATCCCGGGACCTGGCCTCCCACACTCCAGCTGGACTTGGGGTGCTGGGAACACCTGGTCTTAATGGCCCAGTCAGCCCCACTTCCTGAGGACACATGCCAGGGTGTGCAGGGCAGGGAATGGGCCTGGGGAGGACTTTGATGTATGCAAATTGCATGAGCTCCCCCAAGGGAGCTGAGACAGCCTTTCATCACAGTGCTGGTCTGGCCTTCACTGCATGCTCATTGGCTGGGCAGCAGTTTCACAGTATTATTTCCATTTAATAGGGGTGGAACTAAGCCACAGAGAGGTGAAATGGCTTGCCCAGGGTTACACAATAAATGATGAGGCATGTTTTCACTCCCTCATTTTTCCTCTCAGAGAAAAAAAAATAGGGAGGAACCACTGAGAGGAGAGAGAAGACATCCAGGCAGTGTCTTCCCTCGTAGCCACTGTGCAGTCTGAAGGATCATCACAGACCAGAACCAGCTTCCAGAAATGTGGGCACAGAAACCACTGAGACTCGTCTGGTTAACTTAATCTGGATCTAAATACTCCTAGTATATATACTAAAAAAATAGAGAGAGAGGTGAAGTCATTGAGATTCAGGGCAAAGAGGAAACACTCTTGTCTCTTTTCTTTTCTTTTTTCTTTTTGTGTTTTTGATACAGAGTCTCGCTGTGTCACCCAGGCTGTAGTGCAATGGTGCAATCACAGCTGACTGCAGCCTTTGCCTCCAGGTTTCAAGCAACTCTCCTGCTTCAGCCTCCTGAGTAGCTGGGATTACAGGCGTGCACCACCACACCCAGCTAATTTTTTGTATTTTTAGTGGAGACAGGATTTCACCCTGATGGCCAGGCTGGTCTCAAACTCCTGGCCTCAAGTGATCTGCCCACCTTGGCCTCCCAAAGTGCTGGAACTACAGGTGTGAGCCACCACGCCCCACCAGTTTTCATTTTAATAATCTCCCTCCTCCCTTAAATTTTAAGCCAAGAAAATATTCAATACTTTACTATATTTAGCCAACTCAATTTTGTTTTCATCTATACTATACTCATCCTTATTTTCCAGTTTTTATTTCCAAGTTTCCTCTCTACAATTTTATGTATTTTAATTATTGTTTTAACTATCTTCTCTCTATTCCTGCTTTCCTTTTCAGGATTCAGAAAATGTCTAAAATACTCTATTTTTCCTCAAACTCAAGAAAATGAATTAGAATCCTACTAACTCTCTGGAGGCATACATTTAGCATCTGGCTAGAGGAGGACCTCTGATGCAATTTAAATATACTAAAACTGCCTTTCTGAATTGCTGTTAGTCCTTGCTACCAAACTTCTCTCCTACTTTTTTTTGTTTTGTTTTGTTTTTGTTTTCGTTTTCATTTTTGAGGCAGAGTCTTGCCTTATCACCCAGGCTGGAGTGCAGTGGTGCAGTCTTGGCTCACTACAGCTCTGACCTCCTGGGCTCAAGCCATCCTCCCACCTCAGCCTCCCAAGTAACTGGGACTACTACCACACCTGGCTGATTTTTAAATTTTTTGTAGACATGGATGTCTAGGATGTCTAGGATGTCTAGGATGATCTAAACTTCTGAGTTCAAGTGATCCTCCTGCCTCAGCCTCCCAAAGTGCTGGGATCACAGGCATGAGCCACTGTACTCAGCCAGTACTTTTTTTTTTTTTTCCCCCCCCAAAAGCTCTTCTCCCTACTTATCACCATACAGGACTACTTAGCGAGGTGTCTAGTTCAGTTTGAAGGCTACCACTGTCCCAAAAATGCTCAGATACCCCCCTCTTGCCCTGTAAAATACTGTAATACAACAATAAATTCACTCTCCAGCACACTGTTTGGGCAATGACCTCTGGTTGCTCTTCTTACGTTTCCAGTGGATTAAATTCTCTCTGATGCTCTTCTCCTCTTTCCAAGGGAGGTTTATATGAGACGGTTAACGAGGTCTACAAGCTGGTCATCCCCATCCTAGAAGCGCATCGAGAATTCCGGAAGCTGACACTCACTCACAGCAAGCTGCAGAGGGCCTTCGACAGCATTGTGAACAAGGTAGCGGGGGGAGGCTGGCTGGCAGGTCCTGTTACCTGGTGGCAGACGGCCCTATCCTACAGATGCTTAGCCATCCTTCCTCTCCAGGAAGTGATTTACCTTTAGCACATTGCTTTTGCTCTCACCTGTCAAACAGAAAAGGGCTGGAATTCCTCTAACAGAGGACCAAAATTCCAAATGTGAAAACATACAGCTTAAATTACTTTATAACCAGGAAATGTGAGAAATTTTTAAGTTTACTTAAAAGAAGGCCCAGAAATCTTTCATGGGATTTCTTTTGTTGTTATTTCTGAAGTTTATTTCATAAGCATTAATTTTTTTAAGGAGTAATTTCTGTTTATATCAGCCACAGGAGTAAAATGCTTTGTTAACACAATGAAAGACCCCTGCGCTTTGCAACTCAGTGGCTCCTCAG